CCCAAAACATGACGCCAGAGACACATATTCTTATAAGCAGGTCTTCTGAGAAGCAAAGACGCAAGACCAGGAAAAAAAACAAAAAGCTGTACACACCTGTAACAGCAGAAAATATCACTTCTTACACTTTCGTCTGTCATCTTCCTGTAAATCTAAATGCTGTGCACCGGTGGAATGATTGTTTAAATCACTGAAAAACGAACTGGAAAAATGTGGGAGGGAAACCTTTCTTTCCACTTGTTCTGCTGCCAGATTTAGACAGATGCAATATAAAGTACGTTTGGAAATATCAACTCTTTATTGTTTTCAATGTGCCAACTCCTTAATGTTTAACAGCTTTTTAGATAGAAGATAAAAGTTTCCAGAGACATCAAGTTCTTCAGTTCAAGTCTGTTAAAGAATGTTCTGTTCTGCTTTCACGTTAAGACTGATAATCTCAAATCTTGCCATCCTTAAATAACATAATTTGAGACTTTATGTAGAAAGATGTGTCACTTATAGTTCATACATATTCAAATGAGAACATGAATGAGGAACTCAAAGCTGACCTGGATACAAAGAAATATATTCCAGGTCATAAAAGCTGAGTCAGAACTTCACAACATGGAGCTTTATGATGCGCTAACGTATTTCACAGGTTTTTACATAGAAACATAACATTTTAGAAACGTATGTCACCTTTCACTCTTACACAACGTCGAACCATGACTAGCTCCAAATCCACAAAACCAGCCTGAAGATAAAGACAATCTGAAATGATTGCATCAGAGTCTATGGAGCACAGGAGGTCAGAGCTTACCAAAGCTACGCTGTGATTGGCCAGTCTGCGTGTGAGGGCAGGGCTCGGGGTCGGTTGGTCGGCAAAACAGTGAAAAGAAAGTCCAACATGTACTTTCCATTTATGACATTGTTGTTAAATCTCTGTCTTGTTAAATATGTTTTGAATGGGATTAGGTTCCTAATACAAAAACATTTTATTTATTTATTCACTAACATTAAAAGATAACTGGTTTGCTTAGACAGCTATTGAACCAACAGCAATGTTTGTCTGAACTAAGTGTAAACAAAAACCTTCAATGAGCAGATCTCATATCTTTTAAGAACAATTGTTCATTGACATACGACCAAAACATAAATACTTTGGTTGTTTTCCATTCCTCTCTCTTTCTTTCACTATTATTTCCAACCGATGCATCTGGGTGTATTTACACTGTTTGTAATCTCCCCTAGCACACCCCACACCTCCGTCCTGCAGATATATAGCTGCTCGGAAAGACTCCTAGAGCTGAAACACACCCACACTCGTAGAGATAATAAGCCTAATGTTTCAGAGTGGATCTAAAGAACTGCTTAAACAGTGTGCTCAGTCTTAGCCACACTATAACATGCATGACGTAGCAGACATGATGTACTGTATACTACTTAAATCCGGATGTAGATCATGTTAAAAGACATTCTTTTTGTTATGACTCTATATGCTCCAAGATGAATCATCCATTCTTACTTCTTTTCCTGTGCGTGTGCTACATTCATGACCCATTTTGTGGCAGTGGTTGTTCTACCACCTGTGTGTTCTCAAAGGTCATATCTGTCATGCAGAGAACAAATTGCAACTAGCTAAAGCAAAAAAAGGTCAATACAATGGAAACAAACAGTGCATCTAATTTCTTATTTGAATGCAAAATAAACTGAATCTATAACTTATTTCTCAATTAATTAAAGTTTTTACATCACTAATTGTGTTCAAACATGGCTGCCGATGGAAGACATCCAGAACAAGCATTCAAACTGCTTTTATTTAATTTTTGCAACTTGTTGGAAACGGTGAAAAAATATGTTTAAATCAAGGCTTTGACTTTGACTTAGAAACTCAAGTCATTTGAACACATTTGGGTTCTCGGGCAGTCAGTGCTTTACTACCTCTGGAAAGCGTCCCATTGTCTGTGTGTAAGCACACCAAGACTAATTCGATTATTTTACATAACGTAACACAATGATAAGATCTCTGTTGACAACCATCCAGCTAAACTGCTGTTAGCGTAGTGGGCATTACTTTGAATTGGAAGATCTTCAGATTAATTCCACATCCGATATGCTCCACTAAAGCTAGCCTTGATACAAAATGAAGACATCCCTATTTTTATTACCTTTGCCGCCATCTCGCCGTTTTCTTAGTTTGGGAGGGGAGAGGGAGCCATACCTGGCAGAGTTGTGCATTCTATTGAGTGCACTTTTGTAGTTGTTTTGGTTTTCAGGCCCGCTGCTTTACTGTTTTGGTTTACTCTCACAGCTCTCGTCAGTGCCATTTCCTGATCCAGCTTTAAAAACCCACTGTATGCCACCTGCCCAGCACCAAACGGCCAACAGACAAAGTTAAAGGCTAGATGATGACCACAGCAGAGCATTTAGCAGCTAAAGAGCCTTATTTCTTTTTCAGGGCCAAACACGTTAGCATCAGCAGTTGTCAAGTGGTCACAAACATGCCTCCAAATGAATGCTGATGTTGCTCCGTGTCTGCTGGATATTTAATAGGGAAACACATTTGCCATAGCGATTCTAGCCCCCAGGTGTCCAAAGAAATCTATTAATGCAGCTTAAGTAAAATAGTTTGTTAAATGCGGACACAATCTGTATTGATAACAAACTTTTAGTTTCGTGGCTATCAGGTACCTGAATGCATGTTTCTGCTCCCTGCCTGCTGTGCATCATTCCCACAGTTATTCTCTTTCATGTATTCACACTGGATCAAACTGCTGCTCCCTGGGAGGAATGTGTCATGGGATATGTACGCATGGAGGCTCTATCTTTTGCTAATGGTTGCAGCTGCTTTGAGTGGCCTATTTATGAGCACTTCATGTGAGTCATGGTGTGCTCTCCAAATGTATTGTGCCATAGTGCAGCTTGCAACACAACAGCTCAGCATCAGGTGAGCCGATGCTTTGATTGCGAGCAAGAAAAGAATCTAATTTATTATTCTGGTACAGAAGAAAAAACGCAGTTGTCTCACAATGCTGGAAATCAGATTATCTTTAATTTAGCATGAATTCTTGAAGAAAATGTAACGAAGACTACATTCATTTATTTTGTTTGTGTGAATTTTTCATTCAAAGGAGATCATTATAGCGTAAGGTAATCCGTTTCCTGTCACAAAGTCCACCTTGATCACCAGTATTCTCACTAGGTGCTTTCAAGTCGCCTAATCCCTGCACTCATTTCATTTTTCATCTCGTTCTCTCGAGTTTTGCTTTGGTGTGACATCAAAGAGGTGGCTCCACAAACACGCTGCAGTTCTCTTTCAAGTAATGGAAGATAATAGTACAAGATTACTGCCAAAACTAATTTGTCCAAGTGCATTAGAATAACTGCTGAAACTTGGCAGCAGGCCTGTTACATCAGAGGCACTGCTTTGAATTACTCCTGCATACGGGAGATTGGTGTCCTGTAAATCAAACGTGAAAATGCAAACATGTCGTGTTTTTATGTTGATGGCATGTAGGTGTTAATTGCTCTGTCCAGGAAGGTTATCGTTGGAGAGCTGTTCACATAAATGTATGAAAACAGCCTGAAAGTGTTGTTGTTCAATAGCAACAATGAAAATACTGAGATGAGGTCTGAGATGAGATTGAATTAAACACACAGGATCAGGACCCGCTCCTGCTTGAACCAATCTGAATCATCCCTGTATTTCCTCCCTGCTTTTTATGACACTTTTCATATGTTTCAGTTACCTTGCAACAGGGCCAGTTCTGCTTGACCATGTGACGTGCTGTGCAACCTGCAACACAGAGGGGTAGTACATTTTCTATATTTAGTTGGGGATATACTATGACATATCAAACTACAAGATGTCCTACCAAGGCAGGTTGTACTTAAGGGTTAGAAATATGTTTCTAAATTAATTGGGGTTAAAAAGAATTATTACAAATGGGCTGAAGTTTGTTTCTGTACGTAATTCTTTAAGCATATTTTAAAGGTTAAAAGAGGGGTGGGGTGTGAGGGGTCTAAGAGGCAACAGGTGCATCAAATATCAAAGACTTAATATGTAATGTGATCTTTTGGTTTGTTTTAACTTTTTTTGATATGATATGAATATTGTGCCAAATTTGGCAAAGTCCGGAGCCAAGAGCCATGGCATGTCCATCCACACTGGAAACAGTGTGGTACTGTATCACAGCAGGAACGGCCTAGTTCTGTCAATAGAAAGATTAAACGAATCAAAGGCGAAATATTCCCTGCGTTTGCCAAGAAAAGGTGAAATCCTTTTTAGTTAGAGACAGATTTGAAAAAACGTAAGCCGCAAAGGCTAAGTTACTGACTTTCAACCCCGGGTATGCTGGATGGGTATGGGTCAAACTACATAACCGCTGGATTCTATATTTCCCGTATTGCAATCAAGTGGTGTCTCTCTTTGACCCTTGCTGCCTGCTAAATGCTCACGTCTTTCAAACCTCAGCCTCAAGTTTGTAAAGCAGACTGTCTGTTAGAAATTGAAGAATCACTCCAAATAGCTACATTTGAGATGACACCATCAAGGTAGTGTTTTACTTTACGGTTAAACTTTGTAACTTTTGCTGTGCATCAGCCACAAGTGATAAATATTTATCATGCTAAATGATAAAACCTATAAACGTAGCGTGGAAACAAGTAACAAAGTTAGCGAAATGACTCAAACTAACCGAACATTTTAACATTAGCCATTAGCCACCATTAGCTACTGGTCATACCAGACCACCTGTGACAGTAGCAATTAAAGCCCTGACTGTAATGAATTGTAAATAGTTAGTTATTTTGCTTGTAACTTTGTATGTGTGAGATGTGTAAAGGTTACAAACTCTCACTTTAAAAAAATGCCTTCTTATCCACAGAAGAAGCCGCAGGCCGAGTCGTATTATTTACAACAAGTTAAGTGAAATAAAATCGGTTGAGTCCTTTTTTACAGCAAGAGAGGAATTAAGGAATACAAATGAATAAAATACAAGTTTATTTATACAGAAATTCTTAGACACAATCATGATGTGGAGCAGGAAATAATCTAGAAATGTTTAGAGCTGATTAATAAGGAGTTTGCTAAAGACCATTAAAACATTTGAAATTCTCTGTTGTTACAATTGGTTCTGTACATAGCAAAGTTATTTTATTAATCAATTCATTAATGACACATTGTAATAACAATGAATAGAACTGTTGTAGCAGGAAATATCAATATAATTACTAATAAACTATAATTTTAATAAAACTTAACAACATAGTATTAGCAGAACTAAAAGTATTTCTTTATGGATTAAATAGGTATACTGATCAAGTTATAGACAATCTGTTGTCATCATTCTAGATAAAATACAACGCTGAAAACACATTTCTCAAATTGGGGTCACAGCCTAACAAAATGTTACTGTGAACAATGGCTTCCCTCACATTTGTAGAAAGCTGCCTTTTAATTCAAAGCATTATTGACGTTAATTTCTGAAATGTACACATTCACCAGCTTGTCTAGTCCTTGATTGTCCACGTGAAGAATATTAAACATGAGAGGAAGTGATGTGCAGATTGAAGTGAACACGAGGCGAGTCATAGTCCTTTCATTGGCAGATGGCACTGTGTAAACGAACCACCTGAGCCCATCCAGACATTATCATCCACAGTTTTCTCCCCCTCTCTCTACTTCCACAACATTAAAAATCCCCCTGGAACACAAACAGAAGGACATTAAAGAACATCTTTTAAATTAGGTACCCACAGGAGACACATTTACCAGAGTCATATCATAAAATGCACAATTTACTTTTATTTACACAGTATGATTACATAATGTCTTGCGTAACAATGTGCTATATCATACATATTGCAAATACGATTAGACTTATGTAGTATACTGATTGAGAATGTAGTATGCAGTACGTTAGTATACAAGTTCGAACACAGTCTGCATCTCTGCGAATGAGTTATGGCAATGCACTCAGCTGTGTGATAACTGGCAACCCCTACCGGCCAGGATCTGCTTAAGAGTGGAGAGTGAGGAGTCAAGAGCCAATCAGTGGCAGTAAATAACAGGCAATGGAAGGTGTTTTGAGAAAGTGTGAGTCACTGCAACCACGAGAGGTGCTTGAGCATGCAGCCATGAATATCCTGCAGTCTGGTGCAGCAGAATGCGAGATTAGTGGTGGATAGACACAGAGATGCTCACGCATGCACGCACACACATGACCGAACTCATTATCTATTGGCAGAGGTGATTTAAAGATTTAAAAAGGAGAACAGTTGTGTATTTCTGTAGTGCATTTTTTAAATTTGCATCTGGAGGAATTTAAACAGCGGTAACAAAAACACGGGTCAATTCTCTGGACAGACAATATGACTGGTCAGGGAAACACTGTCCATCATCTTTTATATTCATAATAACAGAGTTGAATGAAAGTTAATATTATTTCATGTGCCATGTTATTTCAAATGCCCATTTTCCCAATGATAATTTGAATACAATTGACACTTTGAATTAGGTGTTCGTCAGATCGATGTCAATAAAGTATCCACATGTTAACGGTCACAATATACTGTCATACTGCCCAACCCTGGGAGAGTATCTTACAGTGGTAAAATGAACGATGCAGGAGATAGCGATGATGAGAAGGCCAATGACGATGGAGGCAACGGCAACATAAAGAGCGTTCCTGCCCAGCCGCCTCGACCCATCATGGTCACCCTGATAATAGCTGGTCCTAGACTGACAATAAGAAATCACTGTGTTACACACACAAATTAATGCCTTTACTCCTGAATTTGCAAATAACCACTTTAAACTAACCACATTTTGGAAGCTTTAAAGTGTCATCTAAAGCTTTCTAACCTGTTGGGACCAGGTCACATGTTAAATATTAAAACACTGAACGGGTCTGCAGACAGATTACTGGAAACATCAGTCTAGTTTGTAGTTTGGCCACAAACTGAATGTTCATATCATCAGATTGCAACTTGCTAATTTTGTTTCATTTTCCAAAACGGACGATGAAGTTGTTTTATTTTGATGGGCAGAACAGGTGTCCAACACATTAATTCACAACACTGTGTAACTGAGACACAGTAAACATCCTGAAGAGAGAACTCATTTCTGTTTTCTCTGATGCATTTTATTCCTCATTGACAGCTGTACATCTGTAAGATGATATATAGTCATGATATGCCACGCTTACCATGATAGAGAAGACCAAGGCCACAATGTTGACGGGGTATGCTGGACAAAAACAGGTGAAAATAGTCAAACAGAGGTAGCTGCGGAGTGGAGGTGGAGGTTCCTCTATAGAACCGCGGTCGAAAAATACACTCCCACTCAGGGAATTTTTAACTTGCGGATTAAGCCCCCCTAGAGCCATTGTACCTGACAGAAAAGAAACGCAGTCAGAAGGGTGAAAATTAGAAATTAGAGACGGTTAAAAAAGTTACAAACAGGCTGTGGAAAAAGTAGATCCCAAAAGGCCAGTTTAAATCCAACTTCTGACAAACTTGTTTTGAAGTTCAACAGTCTGGTTGATTAGTCTGATATGTTAAGTGGTGGTCCTCTTTCAAAGCTGGAAAAACAAAGTTTGTGGTTGAGAGAGGGAACAGGAGAGAGGTGGGAGAGGATCACTAACCCCGCTGGCCTCCATCCAGGACACTGAGGCCCTGAGACGAAGTGTGAGGGATCAGACTCTATTTACCACTGCTGGCACAACATGCTGACACATGGAAAGGATCCCTGTCTACGGTTCAGTGCCGTGGAACATCTATGAATGTTGTTAACACAGTAGGTCAGATATTCTGATGTACCATGTTCCTCTCTCTTTGTGTTTTGTCTGGAATAGTTACACTCCAATTTAAAACTGCTGAAAACACAGTTGAAACTATCAAACTTCACATGTTAAACTGGTCCTAGTTACACATTTACTACATCTTGAATGTCTTGTTATAACTTTTCACTCTTTAAACTTGGCATTTATCTTCTTTAGGTAGCTTTTCACGTACTTAGTCAGTCATTTTATAGTAAGAAAAGGATCCTATATGGTTTACACTTTGTTTTGAGAGATCTGTCTGACAGAAATAGGGTTGTTTCTTCTTTATAAAAAAAACTTTTTGGCATATTTTCAAACAACTACGGTCAAAATTAACCGCTGACTTTTTCTTTTCTGTATTTTCTGAACAAAGAATGTGTCTCCCTTGTCTTCGGGTCACACATTCAGATTGCTGAATATCACTCTTCTGGTGTGAGAGCTGTGTATCCTCGGGTCAAATGTCGTTTTGAATACTTCCACTTGGTGTCTCCAAAGTCAGAAATTTTCAAATCCTACATAATGGAGGATTTAAATTTCATAAGGCCATGTCTGGACAGCAAAAAAACTAATGAAATGCAATTTATGCAAATGTGATCCAAACATCATTTGGAGAGGGTTTGAAATGCGATTCCAATCCAAGTGTTGAAGTGCTGAGAAGAATCCATGCTGCTATAGAAGAGCGCTGCAGAAGACATTAAGAGCAGCAGTACAAGATACATTTTCTGCTGGGACTTTCACTCTGCATTCACTTTCTACTGCTTCCCCCTAATTGCAATGTATACCAGAGAGTCTTCCATGTTGGGCACCAGCATAGTCACGTTGTTACTGACGCCTATGTTGTTACCACGGCAAAACATGCAGATAGGTTGCTGATGTCTAGAAAACACAAATCCGATCTGATCACTTGCAAATAAGTTGCTTCTGTCAAAGATCTGATTTGAGAAACAAATTGGATTTGCCTGCAGTCTGAACGAAGCCTGAGAGAAAGTCCACTAAGAGTGCGTGCCAATGTTGGTCAACTGGTGTGACATCAGTGTGCCTGCATATAAATTCAACTCTATAACAAAAATTAAAAAAACCAGTCAGAATCAAACGCTTTAGAATAATTTATTAGGATTTTAAAATTGAAATTATCAGAAAAATAAAACAAGGAAAAAAAAGAAAAGCAGTGTTGTAAAGCTTGGCGGGGTACAGCCCAAATCTTAAACTTTACCAGAGCTCATGTTGAGCAACAAGCTCCATTCAAAGCAATGGCCCTTCTCCTCACATCAACACAACAAAAGACATCATTAAAATCAATATACAAGGGGAACAAGATCTCAAAACAGAAAAATATAGTTTCTTTTTTTTTCTGAAAATAAGTCTTAATGCCGCAGAATTATCCACACGTCGTCTGCTTTTACCAATAATAGTACTATTTTCATTTGTAAGGTAAAAAATAACTTATTGCTTTATTGTAAGTTAAAAAGTTACAGTGTTGGTGTCCAGCAGTAGTTTTATGTCGTGTCCCAGGCGGTCTGACAGAGGAACTACTGGCTGGATCAGGACGTTTTCTGCTGTGCTGAACATCAAACAGCCTGCAGCAAGAAGGCTGAACAAACAGCCTTGTTGTTTTTGCAAATGTTGAATTTGTTCCAACTTTTTGACTTTTCCTGCCAGCCAGTAGCATCTGTACTGAGTTCCTGTATCAGAGCCGAGCGGGAGCGAGACCCTGTTCCATTTCTGGCTCCCTGACCAAACCCCCTCTGTTCACCACTACACGGAGCAGCGACTGTATATAAACAATAATATGTTGGTTTCAGAGGTGCAAAAATGTATTAAACCTAAAAATGAAATGGGAGGGAGGCGGGGGGGGGGAGCAGGTGAGCCTCAATGGAACAGGGTGATCTTTTTTTTTTTTTTCAGTACCAAAAAAAATTGGCAATCGAAATGCTCCTTCGTTGCCAAAAGTAGTTCCATATTACACCTTGATGTATGCGCACAAACACTCACTCACACACACCCAGACGCAATCACATGCACCTTGAACAGCGATGAGAGGACAGAACATGATTGTGATGTTTTCTACAATTGCTTCTCTGAGAATGTCCTTCATTTGTTTTCACGGTGGAGAACACCGTGTAAAAGAATATTTTAAAAAAAAAGAAAACAATAAAAACACAAACATTAAGAAGTGAATCGCGCAAAAATATATATATAATATTTTCAAAAAAGAGGAAGTCAAGTCAAACCCCACCCCACCCCGTGAAACCCCTGTTTTCTCCTCCATGGTCCGTCATCTTAATCTAAAGTAGTTTCTAGTGAAGATGCAAGAAATCTGGTTCATTGTGGTGATCAAATTATAAGTTGCTTTTTTCAAGAAGCAAAGCAGACAAAGTTATGAGTTTGTGAGAAAAACCTTAACTGAACAGATGTGCCAGACAAACTCCTGGAAGTTGTATTATTCAACAGCTATCGTTGAGTGCTGGAGCCGACTGGCCAACAACGTACACATATCTACCATATGCATACCGATCAAAGTAGTGAGACCACACGTAGTAGTAGATGACAGCCAATCAAATAGCTGTTAACCCTTTCAAACCAACCAATGACATGCGAGCTGGTTCGGTAACCCCTCCACCCCTCCACCCCCACCCCCCCTCATCCCAACGTCTATGTACAATATCTTACAGGAAGACATAAAAACATTGCTTTAAAACCAATTACAGAATAAAATACCTTACAGATTATCATTATTATGTCAATATTAATATTACAAAGGTTTTGTTTTTAAAGACTACCAAAATATACATTTTAGGTTTTTTTTTCCCCATGTTTCCGCGATGAGTTAAAAAGAGGACTTTGTTGGATTTTGTTCTTCCTTTGTTATAAATGGTTTTCAGACAAAGACCCATGTCTCACGGTTTCTTCTCTCTGTTCACATCAGTAACGGCTTTTGAAGGATTTCATGATGAAACGACATATCACATTGAAATAAAATAATAATAATTAAAAAAAAACTTACAATAGTCCTCTATGGCTTTGTCGAAGATGACAACCGGTCCTCAGAGATTTTTTTTTTTTTTTTTTTCTCAGCTTTAGAAGAAAAAAATGGATAACAAAGGGGGGGGGGGGGTCTAGTTATAACACTACATGAGGACAAAAGAGGAGAGATGGGGGAAGTTATGTTGAAGTGAGATTAGTACAGCAAAACAGAGTTCAGGATTTCAAAAAGATATTCAGTCGGTGGGTGGAGCCACAGGGAGCCAGTAGAGCCTGTGGCCGGCCAATCAGGTTGTGCCATCAGAGGGCAGCCAGCATTCTGATTGGCTCATCAGCAGAAGAGAGGCCCTCCCAGCTTCAGTGACCTGAGTCTTCTCAGTGGTAGCCATTAGTGAATGCAGTAGCAATCAGCGGGCCCTGGGGGTACATAGACAAGAGGGGATACACTTTCTATTAGATTTGTGAATAATACGTGTACCCATGCATGTATTGAAGTGTGTGTGTGTGCGCTTTGGTAGGGCGTATGACCTACCCCTAGACCGTGACCAAACCCTGTGCTGGGGGCGGGGCTAGCGGCGCTCATGTAGCTGCCGACTCCTGAGTCCTGGTTGGCTGCGGCATACAGTTCAGCCATTGGTCCAGGGCTGCTGGTGCCCAGGAAACCAGCTGTGCGTGAAGGGGTGGAGCCTGAGAGATGGAGGAGACAAGTCAGGCTTCAGCACTAGAGGGCTTCACACACACACACACACACGTCTATAAATACTCTTCTATTTGTCCAAGCAGGACCATGTACACACATTCTACCGAAGGCAAGTATATGCACGAGTACACACATGTTTTTGTCTCAGCACACACGTACCTCTAACTACTGCGGCTGCAGCGGCTGCTGCCATTGGTCCATAAGCAGTCAGGGGAATGGCTGAGGGTTACAAACAAACCAAATTATTGCATTGTCATTGTGGATGGCTCTCACGTCACATCATGAGTCACGATCTACAGCTCAGTGTTGGTTGACTTGACATCTGTGCAAACATCTGTCATCTGATTTAAATCCAGCTGGTGGAGGGTATCAAAACCATAGCATCCAATAAAATCTGACTTTACGTGTTTTAAATAAGGAACAAAAATAAAGCTCATGACAACAACAAGGTGGATGACAACTCAAGGACAACTCAGAGCCACTAGATGGCAGTGTACAGACAGAGCTGCATGAGCAAGCTTGGAGATGCAGGGGCCATGTTCACAAAACATGCTAAAGCTTAAAGCAGCTCCTAACTGGCTGCGTTAGCTGTGAGAGAAGATAGAGGCAGTGAACACCTGTTCATAATTAGTCAAATTGATCATTTTATTTATATCTAGTTGAATTTGATTTTTTATTTCAAGTGTAATTTAATTCATTAAATATAATTTTTAATGTGATTCTTCTTTTACCTTAGTATTCCAAATTAAATTTTCAAATCCTTTTAGTTTTAATTTAAATTCAAATGGTTATTATAATTTTATTTTTCATTCAATTTATTTAATTTTTTTCCTGCACCGGTTGTCTTAAGAGAAATGTCTTTGCTGGAAACCTTTTAAGACGACTCTTCGTGGTGAGATATGCCACTTTGTTAATACAACCAGAGGATTCACAGACAGAAGGTTTCTTGTCATTTTAACTGATTCAGTGTAATAATCGCAGGAAGCATTTTCTGCCTTTTTTATCCCCTAAGTTAATTGGTCCACTGATCTAGTAAACAACTTGACGATGAAAGGCTTTAACAGTTTTCATGAAGCTTACGTAAATGAATAGTTTGACATTTAAGTTATATGCTCGATCACTTCCTTGCCAGCAATTTCATTTGGCTCTTCTGTGCTAAATAGCTTTTTTTCTTTCTTTCTTGGGGCTCTTGGAGGAATGAGGAGCCACTGACCTGCCAGCTCAGCGGGGTGGGATGATGTCATGAGGGGGGTCCTCTCTAAATGGAATTCTAGAAACAGAGAAGGTCAAGAGAGAGCGCTTTGTAAATACAGTCACCATCCGCCCAGCCAGACTACAAAGTCACACACACACACACACACACACACACACACACACACACACACACAC